CTATTTGAATGTGAATAATAGTATGTATTTTTTTGTTAGAAAAAGATTTATATTTTTGATTAAGAACATTTCGTTTGATGTAACCAACCATACTTGCGACATCCCTTGGTGATTTTTGATGTTAATCTCTTTAACACCCTTTAAATTTATTCACATAATTTATACACACATATGAAATTTTCCATATGTAGGATTTATGCCTCCTCAGTACTATGGTGTGTATCTGGTTGTGTGTTTGTACAAACAAATACTTAAGCTTTTACTACATATGAGTAGTATGTAGATTAGGATGGCTCGAGGAAAAAACATAGATGTTTGAGCATACATAAATGAGCTTTGCATTAACTTTTTCTCTGAATATCTGAATACTACTTGACAGCTGTAAAAATTTGAAAGTGGCCGCACATTTTTGTTACTACAGAATGGGAACCATTTTATTGTTCGTATACAATTCATTCATTCATTCATTCATTCATTCAAATTTTCAAGTACAAGCATGTACGTATAAAATCATACAAATACTCCATTTATTTATTTACAGTAATAACAATATTTGAAGTATGTTTTATATTTTATTTATATACTTTCACACACTTAATAATAATGAAAAAATAAAAACAAACACACACACACACGCAATAGAATAAATGACGGTTTCATTGTTTGGTTTAATTTGTTGTCTTTAATATTTTTTGTTTTTTTTTTTATATAATTATAAATGTGATAAAATTAGAATATTAAATATTTTATTTATTTTTCTAATTACACAGAGAACAAATAGAAAAATAACGCAATTAAAAATTTTAATCGTCATGGTTAATTAGTTTGGGAAATAAATAAGAGATATTAACTTTTTTAATTAGAAACCAGAGTAATGTGTATCAAGCGTAGCAAGCATGTGTAAACATTAAGGTGGAATGTTAAAAAGTCTATAGTCTGAATTTTAACAATTGTTTAAGTACCAAATTTGTCTTTAGTAAATCAAGTCCACCCTACTGTACAAGAACAAACCTGTATATTAGTTTAATTCTAAATAATTCTGTTCTGCATAGATACATACATGATGAAAATATTATTCCTAAGAAATTTTTGTAAGATATTTACAATAGAACATGATTTTTTAATTCCAGGAAGGAATATTTCTTGAAATGAAATCCAAATAACAAACTGAATTGGATGTATATTTTATTATGTTAAAAATAATGAAGTAATTAAGTAATTAAGTAATTAAGTAATTAACTAATTAACTAACTAACTAACTAACTAACTAACTAACTAACTAACTAACTAACTAACTACTAACTACTAACTAACTAACTAACTAACTAACTAACTAACTAACTAACTACTAACTACTAACTAAACTAACTAACTAACTACTAACTAACTACTACTAACTACTAACTAACTACTACTAACTAACTAACTAACTAACTAACTAACTAACTAACTAACTAACTAACTAACTAACTAACTAACTAACTAACTAACTAACTAACTAACTAACTAACTAACTAACTAACAACTAACTAACTAACTAACTAACCTAACTAACTAACTAACTAACTAACTAACTAACTAACTAACTAACTAACTAACTAACTAACTAACTAACTAACTAACTAACTAACTAACTACCTAACTAACTAACTAACTAACTAACTACTAACTAACTAACTAACTAACTAACTAACTAACTAACTAACTAACTACCTAACTAACTAACTAACTAACTAACTAACTAACTACTAACTAACTAACTAACTAACTAACTAACTAACTAACTAACTAACTAACTAACTAACTAACTAACTAACTAACTAACTAACTAACTAACTAACTAACTAACTAACTAACTAACTAACTACTACTAACTAACTAACTAACTAACTAACTACTAACTACTAACTAACTAACTAACTAACTAACTACTAACTACTAACTAACTAACTAACTAACTAACTAACTAACTAACTAACTAACTAACTAACTAACTAACTAACTAACTAACTAACTAACTACTAACTAACTAACTAACTAACTAACTAACTAACTAACTAACTAACTAACTAACTAACTAACTAACTAACTAACTAACTAACTAACTAACTAACTAACTAACTAACTAACTAACTAACTACTAAACTAACTACTAACTAACTACTAACTAACTAACTACTAACTAACTAACTAACTACTAACTACTAACTAACTAACTAACTACACTAACTACTAACTAACTAACTACTAACTAACTAACTAACTACTAACTAACTAACTACTAACTAACTAACTAACTAACTAACTACCTAACTAACTAACTAACTAACCTAACTAACTAACTAACTAACTAACTAACTAACTACTAACTAACTAACTAACTAACTAACTAACTAACTAACTAACTAACTAACTAACTAACTAACTAACTACTAACTAACTAACTAACTACCTAACTAACTACTAACTAACTAACTAACAAACTAACTAACAAACTAACTAATAACTAACTAACTAACTATCTAACTAACTACAAAATATGTCTATATATTCTGGATTCTTATAGATTGCGGACTCGATTAAGCCATGTCTGTTAGTAAGTCCGTCTTTTTCTGTATGTCTGTCTGTCCATCTGCGTGTCTGTTGAAATCAAATTTTTGAAGACCCCAGATATCTTTGGTATCCAAATCTTCCATAATTCTGCCGGGCATACTTTCGAGAAGTTTTCTATTTAAAATCAGCAATATCCGAACATAACTAACGGAGTCAAGAGCAAAAGTTCGAAACAACCTCTGAAAACTTCTTCTAAAAAGACTATTGAGGGGTGTGGAAACAAAGGCAGTAATCTTTACTTTTTTCATGAACTGAGTTAATGATGCCATCTAATTACATTTGTTGAATGGTTGTAATCAGTCAAAATACCAATACTCCACAAAGGCATTGAACATTCGTTGACAAAGGAGGGAAACTCAATGATAATCCTTGTACAAGATACCGTACATCCATCACCACGCAATCCAACATACCTGGAAATTTTATTGAGAAAACCTTCTAAGTGTACGAGTATAGTCAGCTCTTCCATTCCATAAGGAATATATGTATTTCATTATAACCCATTTCCAACGTTTAGACCCACATTCATTTCATTGTACCGATTTTATAAATATAACTTTTAATTAACATTATCATTTTGTGATTTTGGGTTTAAACCATAGTTACTACCAGGACAAGACAAAGCCCGATACTCAGACCTGTATGCTATAGGTTCCCCTGGTACAAAACAAGATAGGAGACCCTTTGACTACAGGACAATTCATTCCAAGAAATGCCGAGTATACATTTAAAATCATCAGTTTCCCGGGAAACTAGAGATATTGGTAGCACTTCTCACCCCGATATAGCATTTAAGCGAAGATAGAGGTAGTTCATCAAGGTAACATGCCCCAGGGGTGCAACAAAGACAGTATTTATTGAAGGCGAGTGTAGATCGACTTACACACCTTTAAAGCTTCTAACGTCCATTTATTGCCACAAGCCAACATGACATGCCCCGCCTTTCATGGGTTATACTTAAGTTACATAGAAGGTATTTCAACGAAAAAGTGCCACATTGCTTGTATCTAGAAATTGCAAATGATGTCTCATTTGAGATATACAAAGTAGTTTACTGATTTTGTAAACATTATACCACAATTGTTCTGTCAGTTAATGTAAATATTATTAGTTTGTTGTTGTAGGGTATCTAATATTCTATACTACTGAATATAGCAATCTTACTTTTGCCATTATTTTGTTGTTATCAGCAATTCAATGGCACAAAATGCAAATACATTAATTCTATGTTTTCTCTCTCTCTCTTTTACTGTTACATGCCACAATTGAGAACAATAGAAAGAGAAAATTTCTATGTTTTTCTCATAATATTGCTCTTCACTCTTTAACCAAGCGAATATTTCAAATTCGCTTTAAAAATTTAACGGCTAACCTGTTGTGTTCCTAACAAAACAACAAATTATAACAGCAGTTGCTCTACGAATAAATTCGTTTAACATAAAATGTAAAAAGAAACACACCCGCATCCACCCATTATACTCATTACAATTTTACATTGACTTTTTCCACAACAATAACATGATTAAAAAGCAAAGCAGACACAACAAACATTTTGGACAATTTGCCACTCATACACTCTTGTATAGTCGTCGGTCGTCTCGTACTTTTCGCTGATTTTTATTGTGAGGAAAGAAAATTGCACGAACTTTGAATGTTTGCAACTCAGTTGATAACGAAACTTCAACGCAAACGGTTGTTAAGAACGGATAAAGATAATTTGAAACGGTCAAAACTGTGTTGGTTTTTTTTTTGGAAAATAGTAGTTACTTTTTTTGTATGTGTGCAGAATTTAAAAAGTAACAACAACAACATAAACAAATAAGTGTTGAAAATTTAGAAATATGAAAAGAATAATAAGATTTAAAAGTAATTCAAAGTAAAAAGAAAATTTCTTTAAAATTAGCTGTTTTTAAAAAAGTGCTCATACGTTAAGGTGGTGCTTCACTAAAATAACTATTGAAGTCATATTACTCATACGCAGTGGTAAACGTCTTTCCATAACAATTATTATATGTAAAATAATGTAAAATATGAAATGTAAAAAAAAAATTAAATTATTTTAAAAATATTATTTTGAAAAATTTATTAGTGGAGTGAAAAAATTTTGAAAAATATAAATAAAATATCAAGCCCGTTTAATTGACTTGAAAAATTTACAAAATTTATAGTGTTACATAACCGTGAATCTGGATTATATCCAACTTTAAACATTTACGAGACTAATTTTCGTCAATTTGTAAGTTTTCTTTCTTTAAATCTGAAATTTCATTAAACGAAGTATAACAACCTGTTGGAACTCCCGTTTCCAATTAAAACACTTCGAAATATTGCTCGTTCATCTACAAGTCCTTATAGGCCCTTAGAAGCTGCACAATAGGGCTCAAACGTTAATGGTTAGAGAGTTAAATTATTGTCTTTTTGTTTGGAAAAAGACTTAATATAGGTCCACGATCATTAGTACTTTCATACAGTGTACTTCCGGAATATTGTTAGAACACTCAGTGCATAAAAATCATAATCTAAAGTACTAATGGAAACGGGTTTCAGTTGACCCTAGTCCTTCCTATAGTCCTAGGTTTAGGACTTAAAAATTCGGGATTTTTGTCTGTAAAAGTTAAGCTTTTATATCAACTTGTTGCCGAGCGTTTTAATGCTTGTTAAGGTTCAGTTTCATGTCTTGACGCATATTCTGGGCGTTTTCGGTTACTGTTCGTTTCAAACGAATCTGTTACATTCGGTATATGATATTTTGACCTTTTGCTTCCACCAAATATAGAGCATTACCTTAACGGAAAGGATACTTTTATTTAGTGTAGATTTGGCTGTTATGCTTAAGGATGTTGAAATGGATCCAGTTTTAATTGCAACTAATGAGTCGATGCGAAATTGGTCATTGACCCAACTTTTGAAACCGATGTCTTCCGATCAGGCTGAAATTTGCATCAATGTTAGTCCTATTAGATAGTAGTTTAAATACAATTTTTCATCCAAATCGGTCAAGAACTTTTTGAGTTACAGTCAGTCAAAGTTTATATGTACCCCGTTTGCTTTGATACCCCATGCTAAGCCATGCTATTATAGTTTCCCTGATTTATGAAATTCAATACTTAATGGGGCGTTCTCCGTCCACTATTGCTATTCTAACTTTGTTCGTAATACTCATACTGAAATCTTATTACACTTAAACCATTTAAAGACTGTAGCTATTCTAGTCTACCAGGTATTCAAATTTTTATATTTATTTAAGAGGGGAGTTGCCTCACCCGCTAATATTTCTCCTAAATAATCGCCAGTATATTAAAGATCAGCTGGCAAAATTTGAGCTCTCTAGCTGTTATTGTTTCTTAGATATACGCATTTTATTATTTACTTCATATGGGAGGTGCCATGCCCAGTATTTCTCATACGACTGTTTAAATCCTTAATATTTATATTGATACTAAAGTTGTTCTTATAAAATTTGATGATTCTATATAGTAGTTACCCAGATATACAAATTTTAGCATTTAATTTATATGGGAGTTGCCACGCCCACTTTTACTGGTTCACCAAGTTTTCTTAAAATGTGTATATGGATGATAAAATTATTCGCGCTAAATTTATGGATTTATATAAACGACTTTTAGTACTTATTTTGTATATGGGCGTGGCATCCACCCACTTACATTTTCATTCAGGGTCCAAGTTTAATTTCGTATACGCACCACTGTATACGACTGTCACGACTGTATACGACTGTCTTTTAGTACTTATTTTGTATATGGACGGGGCATTCAACCCACTGAAAGTTTCAAAATAAAAAGCCTTGCCCAAATATATGGGAAACATTTTGATAATTCTAAGAATATCGGTCCATCGTTTATCAGTCTATAGACTTTGGGTGAGAAAAATTTGGTGGAACTGGGTAGTTATATAATTGGATATATACATGTAGGAGAGAGTTATTTTGTATATGTGGGCGTGTCATTCACTTAAATCGGTTCATCAGTTGGTAGTTTATAGACTTCAAACATAAATATAAGTAAACACACACACACTTGAAAACATTTTCATTCATAAATTTTACGCAAAATATATGACTTTGGGTTAGAAAAATTGGCTGGAATTGTATGGATATTGGGTAGGGGAGATTTTGTCTTCTTAATTTGTTACTTAGTGAATCGATTTTGCTGATTTAAAATACAGTCTAGGGCAATAGTAATAAGTATAGCTTTATATTTTTGGTGAAATTTATTGATTTTTATTGCTTTGCATTAACGTGAGCGTATTTAACAAAGACAGACAGACAGACGGACAGATGGACAGACAGACAAACGGACAGACAGACAGACAAACAGACAGAGAAACAGATGGACAGACAGACCAATAGAGAAACAAATAGACAAATGGGCAAACGGGGTGTTGTTTTGTACTGTAGCTTAGTGAAGGACTTTTGCTGTTCTTTTCGGTTCCTTCGAAGTTATGATCTATAAACTTTGAAATGAACTTCAATTGTTTTTGTAAATTTTAATTTTTCGATTTTTTTTATATGTTGTCTTCTTAATTTGTTACTTAGTGAATCGATTTTGCTGATTTAAAATACAGTCTAGGGCAACAGTAATAAGTATAGCTTTATATTTTTGGTGAAATTTATTGATTTTTATTGCTTCGTATTAACATGAGCGTATTTAACAAAGACAGACAGACGGACAGATGGACAGACAGACAGACAGACAGACAAACAGACAGACAGACAGACAAACAGACAGACCAATAGAGAAACAAATGGGCAAACGGACAAATGATGATTTCTCTATTTCACACAAGGAAAGGCAAACTTTTCTATAGCCTCTGTCACCAGTGAGTGGTTTAGAAACGTTTTCTGGAAATAGTACGGTATCTCTGGAACTATTGAAAATGTGATATGGGTAAAAGGTACTAAAAAATCAATAAAATTTTACGAATAAACGTTTTTTAGAAAATCTCTGTTCAAATCTTGAAAATCTTAGAGAGTTATTTGGTTTCAAACGATCTTGCTGATAGCAATTTCGAACAAAAATAATCGATATAAGAATTGGTTGCACAAGAAATCTATAGAATGAATGTCTAACGATTGCACGTAATTGATTACTAAGTTGACAATTGCATAACAAACTCTGTGATAAAAATAAGTTAGCCAAATAAATTTAATAAAAATATATTACACTTTTCTTAGTTAATGTCCGTTGTTCCCAAAATTTTTACGCAAAATATTTACCAAGAATTTCTACAATAATATTTATGTTCAATTTCTATGTAGGAGTAAGAATTCCACAAATAACAGTTTTATAAATAAACAAAATACGAAATCTCCATAAAATACCAAGCAAAACAACAATAGCTATCCTAACACATAGTAATCTCTACTCAAAATACCAAATTTATTATTATATTGCAATTTATCTAATGTAAAAGCAATAACCTTTTTCAACTTAATATAACTACAATGCATTGATCTATTGATTGGTTCGTAAGGTATTTTTATCTAATCTTTTAAATCTAATAAATGATTCTATGAATGGAAAATTATTAGCCTTTATTATATAATTATAATAATAACAGGAAGATATTTATTTAATTTTAATCTAATCTACTTTAATTATAATATAGTTTAGTGTCAAAAGTAAAATTATTCTCATTAACTGCTTGTCAAATTAGTGACAAATATGTAGTGCATAATGTAAAATAATTATTTTTTATTATTGGCTAATAATATGATGAGGTCTCTAGATAGCTTTTTTTGGAGTTTAAGTGTTTAGTTAATTATTTTGATAGGTACTAGTTATGAAAATTGTATGATGAGGTTATTGTTGTAATATTAACCTTGACAACTAAAAAGTCGATATTGACTTTTCCTTTGAAATTGGAGAGCATTATGTCAACATAGCGGTCGCGACCGGTCGACCTCTTTTCTTGCTAGTGAAGTACCTGTTTAAGTTAGACATTCCGCTAATGATATTACCAAGTATCTGTTGATTAGCCGGAAGTCAGTACAACCCTACTTTGGAATGTATCGCCATCTCATTAAGATATATCCGACATTCAGACATCAAGTTAGATGTCGTATAAATACCTCTGGTAGCATCAGAGGTCAGTATATAATTGAATTTCAACTCATTATACTTGAAAACCCCTAACCCATTTCGTAGCCCTGGGCAGGAAGTTTGAAAGAAACTTTCGTTAATGTGTGCGCAATATAGAAGCCATCCTTCGTTTTAGACACCCGGCATTTAGGGTCCAAGTTTAATTTCATATAAACACCATTGCTAAATAGCTCTTACAGTAGCTTAACTATCAGTGTACATTCGAATATTAACTCCCTGAAGCTTTAAAGTGTCCGCAGTATAGTAGACGCCATTCACACTATTCATTATTCTAGAGCCATCAATGTAAATATTGTACGATCATACTTGTATGATCTTATTTGGATTATACTGGATCAACGTATAAAAATCTCTTTCAAAAAATGGTTTGGCAAATTTTCCCAGACTAATGAGTATGGTCGTATGGCCAGACTGTAACAGGCATCAGGGAACTTGAAACTAATCGCAGAGCTGAGATCAGTTAGTAGACATTACTGCCGAAGTGCTTTACATGAGTACCTGCCGTGTTGGCCTATCTCAGTGGTCTTTTTCAACCACTGGGAGAGCTTTGTGACGACTCACCTCCGCCCCTTCATTCTTCAATGAAGAAATCATGTGGCAATTTTTGTACATTGCTAACCGGTCCATGTACAAGCACTTTGCTGGAGTACGTGAGCTATCTAATCTCTGACAATTGCTGCTCCGTTGTTTAATTTCCGAGATGTAAAACATCACTTCCGTTTACAATCAGTTAGTAGACAACTCATCATTACAAAGTGTGCCTTAAATGGAGTGGTACAAAAGAACAGTGAGGAGATGCGAAAGATTCCTTCAAATTGCTGCATAGCCGCTCATTGGTATGGTCTTGACAACAATATAGAAGAGATATCTGATACTCTTTGGATCAATATCTGCATAACCGGTAAAAATTAGGGCTGAGGTGCGAAGGATTCCTTTAAATTGCTTGTAGTGGCTAGACTTCTCACAGCTCTCCATCAGACAAATTGCATCCTATAGTAGTATAGTCTTGACTAACTTATGGAAGTGCCAGTTGTTATTATTTGGATCTGCAATCAAAAGTACTAAGGTACAGAAAATACATATAATTTCCTAGGGCCGGACGAAAAGCCATTTGGTAGTTCTTGAATTAATATCCCAGAATATCTTTATTAATCTTCTAGACCTCATCAGCCAAAGATCTATTTCATGGATATATTTGTGTTGGGGTACGAAGGATTCCTTCGAATTGCTTGTGGAAAGTGTTTTTTGAATAGCACTCCAACCGATCAGTGCCCCATATAGTAGTATTTTCTTGACTACTGTATCTAAGAGCCATTTGGACTATTTGTACCATTATCCCCAGAATCTGCAATCATTAGTGCTAAGATGCGAAGTATTCCTTCAAACTGCATGCGATGGCTATCCTTCTCTTAGCTCTGTATCAGTCAAGAGCCATATGGTATTCTTTGGATCGATACCCTAAGCACCTGTGATGAGTAACGATGGATTCTTTAAAATTACGTTGTGGTGGATGGCTTCCTGCGTGACTAATTGAATAACCATTCGGTATTCTTTGGAAAAAGGTTCTTCCCTATTACCCGATGTTTGTGTGGTTAAGTACCATTATAGTTTGGAATCCAAGAAAACTGCCACATATATCGTCCTATCAGACAACATAAGCTTCAGTCCCTTTAGATGAGATAGTGAATTCTGGAATCCTGTGCTTCCGTTTTTCTTAGGATTTGTCCAAAGTCCTCTATTTTCCTGATGCCACTATGCAAACATCATCTGCATTCGCAATGATCTCTAATCCCAAAGATTTTATTTCCGCAAGAAGCGGGTTCCACGCTGGATTTAATAGAAGTGGAGATAATACACCTTCTTTTGGGGAACTGCGATTTGTCATCTTTGTGGAAGTGAGATAATGATCTTACGGGTTAGAAGTTTGTCCACAAAAGCTTTAATAGCAGCTTTATTGTTGAACGCACCTACCTTTCTCGGATCTTCAGAGGGCAGATTTCTAATGTTAGATCTTTCCTCGTTTGTAAATGAAAACCACGTTGCATTTGGTCCATGGTTCGGATATAAATGATCATAATAGACAAACTTATAAAAATCCGGAGATTTGAATGGGTCGAAGCTGTATCAACTGGGTTACCAACTGCTCATCCGGTACCGGTTTGATATGCTTACGTTTTGTATGTTTGGCCCTTTCTCGTATGTGAATGAAGGCCTCTTTGCACTGGATCAGTAGATAAACATATAAAAAATCCGGTGATTTAAATGGGTTTAATCTGTATCAACTGGGTTATCATTCTGGAGAATGATAGCCAGTGAAATAAGTAATCATAAGAACTTTCAGAGATTCATGTCTGCTGGTCATCTAACTGTTAAACGAATGAGACATGGGGAATAGTCGATAATATTTTACGAAGTCGACTGGTCTCAGAAGATCCATCTATAGTGGTACCTTACTTTTTGAATATCTAACTATTTCTAACTCTATTCAAGTATTGGATTTATCCTAATTTTTTAAAGGATTTCATTAAAAAGTGTCGTTTATTGTTGACTTTTGGGTGAGCGCTAGCATTTTAGATTTTGGGGTATTTCGAACATCGGCATGAAGAAATTAAGCTTTTTTTTGATATAGGGACTATTTAAATCTTCTACTGTCTCTTCGACTACCTGACACCAGCACGGTCCTTCAGGCAGAGATATATGCCATCTATACAGCGAGAAGAATCCGGGAACTAAATCTCGAAAATTCGACTATACATATATACTTGGACAGACTTGCATCAATCAAGGCATTTAATTCCAATGTTATTAAGTCGAAATGTCTTCTCAATTGTATTCAATCATTGGCACAACTGACACCAACATAGGGCATCCGGGGAAATGAAATATCTGATGACTGCGCAACTAAAGAGTCATCCCTGGACTTAGCACTTGCGCCAAAGGATATTCACACTCCCCTGACGACCATATCAAAACCGATAGATGAATGGGCTTTGAGTGAGACGGAACTCTGGTGGTCAAATATCACCACTTGTAGAATATCGAGATTGCTCTGGCCCAATCTGACAACAGATAGGACTAGGACTCTCTTGTCTCTTAGTAAGAACTCGATTAGACTTCTAACTTGTATAATTACTGGGCACTGTATGATTGGACATATGTCGGAACGTATGGGCTACCCAAATAGACGAAGAAGAACTGGAATCGGTAAAACACCTTCTATGTAACTTCCCAGCCTTACAAGAGCACAGACTACTCTATCTTGGTGGAGCTCTTTTCCATGATCTCCATGTCTCAGAGATGCGTCACTAATAAACATGATCGGTTTTATTAAAAACACCGGCTGGTTTACACGGAGACCGAACGAATCAAGTAGTCAACGAAATTAGTGAGGGAATCGTAATTCTAAGGGTATCACAATGGGCCACCAGGCCTCCGAGTGAACTCGCTTGCTAGCGTGCAACCCACGTAACCTAACCTAACCTAGAGACTATTTATAACCCTATGACTCTATGTTACTATGCTCATGAACTTTATTAGACTTAAAGAAAGAGTTAGGGCTCCAACTTTTCTCATAAAGAACTGCAGAAATCTGTAATTTTATGAATTCTCAAATTCAAAACCGGTTATTTTTGAATTCCGAAAAGAAATTGTTCCGATTTTTTTTGTGTTGGAAAATTTTGTATTGTGCAAGCAGTAAATATCGAATTCTTTTTTTCGAATTCATATGTCGAAGGTGCCCTACTTTGAGCCCCCTATAGCGCCTGCATTTAAAGGTCGGATACTACTTGGGTACACCCGTGTCAGTTAGTAGAAATGTTAGATTTATTAAACAAATCGATTCTACCCCACTGTGCTTTCTGATTATATGAAATTCCGTTGTGATATATATTTTCAAAGGAATATTTCCTGATGTTACAGAGGGATCAAATAACTCTAACTTAACACAAATACGTAACAGCATCTTCTGAGAGTTATGTTAAAAAACGGGCTTGACTGATGATTCTTTCCGCCACCCACTCCATTTTATTTATTTGATTTTATTTTTAATTTCCCTTAAGAAAGAAAGTCAATTAACTGCATGTATCAGATTTAAATCTGTTTCTGTGAATGTTTTTTTCTTTTATTCAATCTTTCTTATATGAATTTTTCTTTTATTTTCTTTCATTTCCATTTATTTTTTCACTTCAATGTTATTTATATATATTCTTATGTACATTCTTTAACAAAAGACCACCACAGAGTACGTGTTCAAGTGGCAGTTTAAGTATAATTTTTGTGTGTTAAATAAACGTGTTTTATTAAATAAAATCTTACAGCATCATCCAGCCAACAATAACAGCAGCAGCAGCAACTCACACATCATCAGCAACAGTGAAAGCAGTAACAATATCATCATCATCATCATTTGCAGCAACAATATTGTCAGCATCAGCAGCAACCAACAATAACTACATTACATTTTAATTTTGGTTATTTTTTCCATTTTTATTATTATTTCTTGAGAAAGAGGAATTAATTCGTTAAATAAGAATAAATACATAAAAAAACGTTAAAGAAGAAAAAAGTTTAAAATCTTTTTTATGTAAAAATGAAAAAAGAAAATTAAAGCAAATTTTTAAACTTGTGAAAATATTTAAATTCTCTTACAAATTTCTAAAGAAAAAACTAGAGGTTTCAATTTACTTGTTATATAAAACTCAAGAACTATGATTCAATAGTGTTTTACACACACACACATCTACAAGTACTCATTCTCAACTCAAGTACATACTTGACAATTACCAAAGTCTTCGTTTATTTTTCCTGGCCATAGGAGGTAAGTTTTTCCCCTCTTCTTTTCAATTTATCGTTTTTGTTTTTAATCTCTAGACTTAAGATTTCATTAGTTTCAATGGCAAACAATCTCAATAACGGAAATAGTCTGAGTCTTTAGTCAAGTCAAGTTTATTCCATTATACAAACTCACAGCATTATTTAATTAATTTGAGTACAAGAGGAAATTAGTTATTGAATAAAGTCGACAAGAAACTGTAAATAACTTTAGTTGATACTTATTTACTTGACAGCATCAAAAGTAGTAGTTTTAATTTATCAAATTGTTCAAGATGATCACATTTGAATTACAACTTTAAGTTCTCATGAATAATAAGAAAGAAAAAATTTCTTGATTTTGACAATGCTCGCTCAATCTATACGTATTAATGTACTGAACACAAGAAAAATAAAGTCTAGTTCTAGTTCAGTTCTGGTTCAGTTCTGGTTCAGTTCTAGTTCAGTTCTAGTTCAGTTCTAGTTCAGTTCTGGTACAGTTCTAGTTCAGTTCTAGTTCAGTTCTAGTTCAGTTCTAGTTCAGTTCTAGTTCAGTTCTAGTTCAGTTCTAGTTCAGTTTTCAGTTCTAGTTCAGTTCTAGTTCAGTTCTAGTTCAGTTCTAGTTCAGTTCTAGTTCAGTTCTAGTTCAGTTCTAGTTCAGTTCTAGTTCAGTTCTAGTTCAGTTCTAGTTTAGTTCTAGTTCAGTTCGAGTTCAGTTCTAGTTCAGTTCTTGTTCAGTTCTAGTTCAGTTCTAGTTCAGTTCTAGTTCAGTTCTAGTTCAGTTCTAGTTCAGTTCTAGTTCAGTTCTAGTTCAGTTCTAGTTCAGTTCTAGTTCAGTCTAGTTCAGTTCTAGTTCAGTTCTAGTTCAGTTCTAGTTCAGTTCTAGTTCAGTTCTAGTTCAGTTCTAGTTCAGTTCTAGTTCAGTTCTAGTTCAGTTCTAGTTCAGTTCTAGTTCAGTTCTAGTTCAGTTCTAGTTCAGTTCTAGTTCAGTTCTAGTTCAGTTCTAGTTCAGTTCTAGTTCAGTTCTAGTTCAGTTCTAGTTCAGTTCTAGTTCAGTTCTAGTTCAGTTCTAGTTCAGTTCTAGTTCAGTTCTAGGTCAGTTCTAGTTCAGTTCTAGTTCAGTTCTAGTTCAGTTCTAGTTCAGTTCTAGTTCAGTTCTAGTTCAGTTCTAGTTCAGTTCTAGTTCAGTTCTAGTTCAGTTCTAGTTCAGTTCTAGTTCAGTTTCTAGTTCAGTTCTAGTTCAGTTCTAGTTCAGTTCTAGTTCAGTTCTAGTTCAGTTCTAGTTCAGTCTAGTTTCAGTTCTAGTTCAGTTCTAGTCGTTCTAGTTCAGTTCTAGTTCAGTTCTAGTTCAGTTCTAGTTCAGTTCTAGTTCAGTTCTAGTTCAGTTCTAGTCAGTTCTAGTTCAGTTCTAGTTCAGTTCTAGTTCAGTTCTAGTTCAGTTCTAGTTCAGTTCTAGTTCAGTTCTAGTTCAGTTCTAGTTCAGTTCTAGTCCAGTGTTCTAGTTCAGTTCTAGTTCAGTTCTAGTTCAGTTCTAGTTCAGTTCTAGTTCAGTTCTAGTTCAGTTCTAGTTCAGTTCTAGTTCAGTTCTAGTTCAGTTCTAGTTCAGTTCTAGTTCAGTTCTAGTTCAGTTCTAGTTCAGTTCTAGTTCAGTTCTAGTTCAGTTCTAGTTCAGTTCTAGTTCAGTTCTAGTTCAGTTAGTTCTAGTTCAGTTCTAGTTCAGTTCTAGTTCAGTTCTAGTTCAGTTCTAGTTCAGTTCTAGTTCAGTTCTAGTTCAGTTCTAGTTCAGTTCTAGTTCAGTTCTAGTTCAGTTCTAGTTCAGTTCTAGTTCAGTTCTAGTTCAGTTCTAGTTCAGTTCTAGTTCAGTTCTAGTTCAGTTCTAGTTCAGTTCTAGTTCAGTTCTAGTTCAGTTCAAGTTTAGTTCTAGTTCAGTTCTAGTTCAGTTCTAGTTCAGTTCTAGTTCAGTTCTAGTTCAGTTCTAGTTCAGTTCTAGTTCAGTTCTAGTTCAGTTCTAGTTCAGTTCTAGTTCAGTTCTAGTTCAGTTCTAGTTCAGTTCTAGTTCAGTTCTAGTTCAGTTCTAGTTCAGTTCTAGTTCAGTTCTAGTTCAGTTCTAGTTCAGTTCTAGTTCAGTTCTAGTTCAGTTCTAGTTCAGTTCTAGTTCAGTTCTAGTTCAGTTCTAGTTCAGTTCTAGTTCAGTTCTAGTTCAGTTCTAGTTCAGTTCTAGTTCAGCTCTAGTTCAGTTCTAGTTCAGTTCTAGTTCAGTTCTAGTTCAATTATAGTTCAGTTCTAGTTCAGTTTTAGTTCAGTTTTAGTTCAGTTCTAGTTCAGTTCTAGTTCAGTTCTAGTTCAGTTCTAGTTCAGTTCTAGTTCAGTTCTAGTTCAGTTCTAGTTCAGTTCTAGTTCAGTTCTAGTTCAGTTCTAGTTCAGTTCAAGTTTAGTTCGAGTTCAGTTCGAGTTCAGTTCGAGTTCAGTTCTAGTTCAGTTCTAGTTCAGTTCTAGTTCTAGTTCAGTTCTAGTTCAGTTCTAGTTCAGTTCTAGTTCAGTTCTAGTTCAGTTCTAGTTCAGTTCTAGTTCAGTTCTAGTTCGTTCTAGTTCAGTTCTAGTTCAGTTCTAGTTCAGTTCTAGTTCAGTTCTAGTTCAGTTCTAGTTCAGTTCTAGTTCTAGTTCAGTTCTAGTTCAGTTCTAGTTCAGTTCTAGTTCAGTTCTAGTTCAGTTCTAGTTCAGTTCCTAGTTCAGTTCTAGTTCAGTTCTAGTTCAGTTCTAGTTCAGTTCTAGTTCAGTTCTAGTTCAGTTCTAGTTCAGTTCTAGTTCAGTTCTAGTTCAGTTCTAGTTCAGTTCTAGTTCAGTTCTAGTTCAGTTCTAGTTCAGTTCTAGTTCAGTTCTAGTTCAGTTCTAGTTCAGTTCTAGTTCAGTTCTAGTTCAGTTCTAGTTCAGTTCTAGTTCAGTTCTAGTTCAGTTCTAGTTCAGTTCTAGTTCAGTTCTAGTTCAGTTCTAGTTCAGTTCTAGTTCAGTTCTAGTTCAGTTCTAGTTCAGTTCTAGTTCAGTTCTAGTTCAGTTCTAGTTCAGTTCTAGTTCAGTTCTAGTTCAGTTCTAGTTCAGTTCTAGTTCAGTTCTAGTTCAGTTCTAGTTCAGTTCTAGTTCAGTTCTAGTTCAGTTCTAGTTCAGTTCTAGTTCAGTTCTAGTTCAGTTCTAGTTCAGTTCTAGTTCAGTTCTAGTTCAGTTCTAGTTCAGTTCTAGTTCAGTCTAGTTCAGTTCTAGTTCAGTTCTAGTTCAGTTCTAGTTCAGTTCTAGTTCAGTTCTAGTTCAGTTCTAGTTCAGTTCTAGTTCAGTTCTAGTTTCAGTTCTAGTTCAGTTCTAGTTCAGTTCTAGTTCAGTTCTAGTTCAGTTCTAGTTCAGTTCTAGTTCAGTTCTAGTTCAGTTCTAGTTCAGTTCTAGTTCAGTTCTAGTTCAGTTCTAGTTCAGTTCTAGTTCAGTTCTAGTTCAGTTCTAGTTCAGTTCTAGTTTCAGTTCTAGTTCAGTTCTAGTTCAGTTCTAGTTCAGTTCTAGTTCAGTTCTAGTTCAGTTCTAGTTCAGTTCTAGTTCAGTTCTAGTTCAGTTCTAGTTCAGTTCTAGTTCAGTTCTAGTTCAGTTTCTAGTTCAGTTCTAGTTCAGTTCTAGTTCAGTTCTAGTTCAGTTCAGTTCTAGTTCAGTTCAGTTCTAGTTCAGTTCAAGTTCAGTTCTAGTTCAGTTCTTGTTCAGTTCTAGTTTACATTCATATAATGTACAAAAGCTTATTAAAACTGACAAAGGCGTATGATCATAGTCCCCTAACAATACCGTATTTTTATAGCAATATGCAAAAGTTTTTACAGTTTATATAAACCACTTAAAACCCTAATTTTATTAACAATTATTTTTATAAAGGAAACACTTTTAAAGGGTCATATATAAAAAACAACAGCCTTTCACTTGTAAAGTTATTCACCTCTATTAACAGTATAAAATATCCTTTTAACAGGACTTAAGTTTTTATATCTTTCATGCATACACTTGAATATTAATTTGTATTATTTTGCTTTTATTATTCTATGAAAAAAAAACGATATTTATCGGTGTGCTTTGTTTATTGTTAAAACTCGTGCATTTATTAATAATTTTAAATTTGCATGTAGCAAAAGCAATAAATGGAGGGGAACGATAAAAGAATAACAAAAATAAAATTAACATTTTATGGAAATATTTGATTTTTATTTTTTTAATATTGTATAATTTTTTTTTTTTTTTTTGCTTCAATTTAAAAATCGTAAAAAATACTTTTGTTATAAAAACAATCTCAATTAAATTAAACAATGAACTTTGGAATATAATAAAAATAAACAATTTACATATTTTTTTTTTGTTTTTTTTTATTGATAATTTTGCAAAAAAAAACTAAAATGTTATAAAATATAAAATATCCGTTTAACTTTTAATACTTCATCAGAATTTTTTATTAGTTAGTTTTTATTTAATAATTATTTTTTGTATAAAAACTAGGAATTCTTTTTTTATACAACTGTTATAGTAATATATCAAAAAATTTATATAACTTTAATTAATAAATACTTTGTGTAATATTTGTAATTAAATGTTGAACATAATTTATATGTAAATGAAAAATCCTTTGATTTATTAAGTTTTTTTTTATATAATTCTTTTTTGCGTAAACAATTTATTGTGTAATTTATAATTTACTAAATAGTTTATTTTGTAAACAAATCATTTTTAATTGAAAATATTTATAAATATTTAAATCATACCCAATAATCTAAACAGTAACAGTTTTTACTAAAATATATGTGAAAAAATGAGTTCACAAACTTGTAGTAAATTAAGCAAATTGTTCTATTCAACATACGTACACATTTTGTTTACGACTGTTTAGACAAGTCCATTTTCAATGCCATACATACCTTACCTATGGGCAATATTTGTAGAAAATTTCAACTCCCTAGCCCTTTCCATTCGAACTCTGTTGCGTTTTAAACAAAG